TTCTTTCAAGTGCAGGAGTGTCGAACTAATAAATAACCCGACAAGATCGGGGTCAAACCACAAGGAGGCTAACTGTGTAAACTACAAATAAAAAAATAGATAATAATAGAAATGGAGTTAAAGAGTGCTTTGGGATGTGATCTTGCTGTAAGGATTAAACAAGGATAAAATAATTGTCAATGTTAGATGATCCACTAATGGTATTTCAAATAAGCATAGTATAAACTCTTTTTATTACTCAACTGGAAACTACACACAAAGAAGATTCCAATCGCATTATAAATTGTTAACATAATTACATTAGTTATCTTATTCGAATAATGCTAATATATATAAATATTGTCAGGTATTCATGATTATAACTTATGTTATCAATAAATCAAGTTTCTTTCATAGCACAAGTGTTAGTTATACCATACGGTTGGGCCATGAACGTGTCAAATGTTTGTTGTACCAATGATTATACAACATAAATCTAGATTAACTATTTAACAAGCAAAGTATTAGTGAACAAGATAACAAATACTAAACATGTTAGTATCAAATATTAAAGCCCATGTTGAATTTATACTATACTTATTTTTACACCATTAATGTAACATTTTCACCTTGACATAATAAACTTAACTAAACATAATGAAATAAAAAAAATACAAATAAACAATATAAGAATATAAATAAGATATAATTTAACTAAGTAAAAAAAAGAAAATGAAAAGCATAAACAAGAGATTAATGAAAGCAAAACTTAAGCATTATAAAAATATAAAGAGAGAAATAAAGAGCATGATCTTGATTTGAAAACCAAGATGCCTAAATGCATGGCAATTGCTTTCTTTTATAGGCCAAAATTAGAAATTATTGATTTGTTGACTAATTGTTGAGAAGGTGGCCACATCTTGACTTGGTGACAATTCTTATCTTCTTGTCTGAACAAAATGTTATTGCTAATATCATAATTTAAACAGATTGTCTTCATGAAAATTCTAGAAAATTATCTCAGCTTTCCAATAAAAAAAATTGATGTTGGACTTCTCGAACTTGAGATATGGGCTAAACACTGAGTAGTGTCTGAGTTGTAGGACAGATTTAGACTTCTTCATTTTTGCTACAATTTGAACTTGAAAATAGTTTTTTTGAATCTTAGACTCTTCATGTAAGTTTTAGGCTTATATCTTAGCTTTCCATCCATATAGATAAAATCTAAATCCAAGTTCTACAACCACAATTATGATCCAATAACCGAATGGTGTTCCAGTTTAAATTGAACCAACATATCTTTTCTAAACTTAGCCCTCTCTTTGTCTTTTCAATTTCAGTAGTTAAACTCATCAATCAATTCCTTGATTTATGTGATAGGCCTGCATTTAAGATAAATATTTACCATAAATTAAAGCTATCTTATATTATTAAATATGTTATTATAAAATATGCTATATCTAAGGAGTTATTGATACTTCAAGTGCAAAATAATGATATAAAACCTTGATAAAAATGCACTTTTAAGTACTAATCACACCCCTCAACCAACTTATTACTAGTCCCTAGTAATCAAAGCGTTAAAATAAAAAAACAATTTCCAAATTCTATAAAGGCATTCATTATCCAACTTCTATTAATCTATCCAGATAAATAAACTCTCATTAAGTTTATATATTTGCTTCATAGTTCTTAAACAAGATATTAATAAACCTTTCTTTATGCTTAATGTATCAACATATAGTTATGGGGCTTTATTTGGAAGAAAATAAAATTTTATTTTAGTGTTTAAGGTTAACTTTCTTAGGTTAGGATTATTATTATTTCTTCTATTTTTCTCTCTCTGTTTTTTTAATATATATACATATAATTTAAAACACAATGCATCTTTAACCTATGCAATGAGCTTTCGGTTAATGACTCCCAAACCAGTTGGTCTTAAGGCATTAGGTGTTGAGACACCCTATCAAGTTTAGTAAATTAGGTTGCAGATACTGATACATAAATAATACAATGTTTGATTCCCTTAAGTTTTTCTCCCTAACCTATATAACAAGCATTGAGCCAATAGCTCCCAAGTCAGTTGACTTTAGGGTATTAGGTTTTAAAATACCTCTTCGAGCTTAATTGCTTAGGTGATGGAGGCTACGAAACCAAATTTATCTATGTTTTTATTATCATCAATATTATTACTTTTTTTTTTTGCAAATTATATACTATCTCTTTGCTTTAGTTGTTACGTTTAATAAAAGAACATAAATAATGTAATAATCCAATGTGCAATCCACAATTATATGTTAAAGTGTATGTGTGTGTGAAAATAAAGGTTTAAGAATACATGTTAAATGAGCATATGAGCATATGAGCATAATCAAGTGATGATATTGCAAGAGTTTTTAAACCTAAATATTTCAAGAGAAGTATGTGATAGACCTTGTTATGAATATTGCAAATAACCATTAAAAAATATTTATTAAGATGCATATCAAGAGTCAATAAAATTCTTTCTTACTTTATCATCCTAGTAATAACAGTTTTGTCAAATGATTTTATTAAAAACAAAAGTAGTTAGTTTTTTTTTGTCAACTACTACCCTCTACCCTCAACCAAAACGAGACATTGTCTTCAATGTTCTAAGGTAGAAAGATAAAGTACAAAAGACATCACCTGAAACATTGATTACTGACAAACCTGAAACACACTTAAATAAATATAATAAACAACAAAATATAATATTATGTTATTAATAAATCCAAAAAACATACGCTCTTACAAAATAAGGTTTAAATTGTAGTTTTGATTGTGGCTCACATCTTCCCTTGGTTTTACGTCCAAGAATGGTTTAAATGCCCT